TTATATATTTAATATATACATATTTATATATATTCGGGACAGATATATATTTACACCGACAAATAAGTATACTTTGGTAATTGAGCGCGTTCAGCAGAATAAACCAATCAACGAATGAAAGTATTGATAAGACAACATTTTAGCAGGTCTGATGAACGCGGCCATTTGTATTGGCATACTTGGTTTGCTTGAGCCTATCACACATTAATGCCAGGCAACAGGCAATAGGAACAGGGAATAGAATTTCTGCCGCGTTGGATTGGTTGGAAGAAAATTTCCGACGAATCCAACGCGTCAAAAATTTTATTCCCTATTCCTATTGGCTGTTGCCTGGCATTGTGAGATAGGCTTGACAATCCCGCGTTTTTGTTTCACTGTAAGCTGCTGGAGTGACGAAGTGCATGCAAATTTTGATTGTGAAAAATAATAATGAGTGACGATCAGAACTCTGAGGGACCTCCCCCGGTACGTATAATATTTTTACTTCAAACGGTTATATTGCGTCTCCGGTAACTCTTACGCGATATGCAAGTTACATATGCAAGGAATTACCTAACCTATTTTCTATGTATATATCGCAAAATTATTAATTAATCACTGGCCAATTTAATACTGCCAGTATAAAATTTCAGTAAAGGATATTTTAATGTATGTATATCATAGATAACAGGGTGTTCGCAAAAGTAGAGGCCTATCCATCTGGTTGTGTGCATTTTCGAGAATCTAAATTCATTAAATAATCACCAGATTTTGGTGATGCAAGGTTTTGATGTTCATCAAAGTTTCTTCTGAATTCAAAGTTTCTTCTGAAAGTCTTAAGTCCTATGCATTTTTAAAGCTGCTTGTTGACATTGCTAGGTCAAGAAAGAAGTTTTGCGGCGCAGACAAAATCGGCAGGTGGAAAGATATTTAAGGAGAAGGCAGGAGCTTCTTGCTATCAGGGATGTTGCAGATGCTCTGTACCCTACAAACGACGATGATAATGATATCAATGATTTTGCTTCTCAAGGATCTGACCGTAACAATTTAGCATTTGAAATGGCAGAGGATATTGTTGGACATAATGATGTGGACTCAAATAGTAATGATATCGGTGATCCAGTTGAGGGAGCTGCTTCAGAATTAGAAATCCAAAATCAACAGGAAATTGGAAGTGGATGTACATCCGTTTACAGTCAGAGAAGTGAGAGCAGTGGTGATCAAAATGAAAATCTTGAAATAGAAGAATATGTTCAGAAAGTTATTCGTCAGTGGGGTCGAAATGGTGGTGCAGCATCCATGAGGAAGTTAGATGAATTATTGATTAGGTTATCAGTTGTGTTTCCTAATTTACCAAAATCATATAAAACGTTATTGCAAACTCCAGGATACATTGAAGTGTCGGAGTGGGAAGATGGCAGCTTCATGTGGTACAAGGGTATTCGGAAGAACTTGGACTTTATGGATCTACAGGAATATCTAAGAAAATATGGTAGAGTGGTCATTGATATCAACATAGATGGCTTGCCGCTTTCAAAAAGTTCCCCATTGAAGTTCTGGCCTATTCTTGGTCATCTAGTTGGTACTGAAAACATGCCATTTACTATAGGCATTTACCTTGGAAAGAAAGATCCAAATGATCTGTATGCATATCTGCATGATTTTGTGCTCGAGCTTGACTCTTTGTTTCGAGAGGGTTATTTTGTTAATGATGTTGTCTATCCA